TTGTGGGGTAGCCAATATGGGGTACAGCCGACTCTAGGGTTTCATATTTGTACCCAACTCTTTCATAGTTCAACCATTCCTGCTGCTAGATTCTACACGCGGCGGTTTTCTGCCCGCCACGTGCTCGGGGCGCGTGGCGGTTTCCTGCGCGCCGCGCGCCCCGAGAGCGCGCGGTGGTTTTGTCGCCCGTCGTGGCGCCCCGGGGGCCCGTGCGCTGTCCCCTCCCATCGCCCGTCATGGCGCCTTGGGGTCCTGCGCGTCTCCCTCTTTCCCGTCACCCGCCGCGGCGCCCTGGGGGCTCGCGCGTCGCCCTCCTCCCGTCGCCCGTCGTGGCGCCCCGGGGGGCCCGCGCGTCGCCCTCTCCCGTCGCCCGTCGTGGCGCTCCGGGGGTCCGCGCGTCGCCCCCTTCTGTCGCCCGTCGAGGCGCCCCGGGGGCCCGTGTGTCGCCCCCTCCCGTCATCCGTCGAGGCGCCCCGGGGGCCCACGCGTCACCCCCTCCCGTCGCCCGTCGAGGCGCCCCAGGGACCAGCGCGCTGCCCCGCTTCCACTCGCCCGCTACCCGCGCTCCTGCCCTGTGCTGCCTGTGTTAGGGTTTGGGGGTGGCGAGTCTGGGGGTGTGTGCGCCGTCCCCTGCTCCTCCTCCTCCTCCGTCTCCCACTACTGAAGCTGCCGCTAAGGGGGGTGGATGTGTGGGAGCCGTCGGAGTGGTACTAGGGGGGTGGCGTGTGAGCAGTGCTAGGGGAATAGCAGGGGGTGTGTGAAAGGGGTGTGGGACAGCTGGGGGAGGTTGAGTGGAGGCAGCCGTCTTGTCGTCCGCAGCACCTGTAGTCCGGGGCTCTGCCGCTGGTAGCCCAGAGAGCCTGCTGCGCCTATCGCCCGTGGGTCCGTTGCTCCTGCCGCTCGTCTTAGCCGCGGAGCCTGTTACTCCTATAGTCCGGGGCTCTGCCGCCGTTAGCCACAGTGCGCGCCGCTCCTGTTGCCCGTGTGTCTGCAGCTTCAGCCGTCGCCTCCCATCTTCTCGCCCCCACAGTCTCTCCTCCTCCTCACTTGCCCTCTGTGATAGCCTCTAGCTTTGCTTATCATTGTGAACTATTGCTCTGCCTGCTTGTTGTGCTGATTACACCCCACTTTGGCTATGGGGGTGTGTCAGAATGTTGTATTTGTCTAGCGTGCAGTTGGGTACTCTAAAGCGAGTACAGCCCGATTTAGGGTTTCCTATATGTACCCTGCTGCTTCTAGTCCAAAGCCCTCTTTCCTGTTCTAACTTTCTAGCTGCTATTATGACATGCATCACAGGCTATCTGCCTTGCTGCAGCGTTGGCAAGCCGCGGAGATGCAGCGCTGCCAGCTCGTCGACTTGTAGGGTTGGCAAGTTGCCTCCCAGCTGCGGTGACAACCCAGATGCTGAACGAACAAATATTCATTCGATGTATGGTGTCGGATCTTTGCATGTCCAAAGTCCATATACAATTTGTTTTTATTTAATTTACATCGTATTACAACATTTGTTGCTGATTTATCTGGAATGATAAGAATGAACATTGTTATCAGCCAACCACATCGAAATCCATCCATGTTGGCCTCATGTTGCTGAAATTTGGTTGAAGAGTATGAAATCGCAGCTATTTGTAACCACTCGTGATACTTGTTAGCGCTAGAATTTGGCGTTTAGATGAAATAAGGATAGTAGCAGGGATGTTACACTATTCCGAATGCGCTGTACATTCTTCATTCCAGCGCATTGCTATTGCGCGTCTTCGCACTTTCCTGTTGGTATTTCAAACGAACACGTCATCGTGCGAGTGTTATGTAATTGGTGTATCTTAATTTTCACGGACCTTGTTGGCGATAAGGTCTGTTGTGATTGGTCCTTTTATCGCCAACACGCTGGGTTCAACAAAAGCTAGTTCGCTGCTGTTCGCCTTGCGCACTTGCGCTGGATTTTTCAACACTAGCGCAGCTGCTCAATTGCAGGTTGATGCAGCAATTGCGCCTTGCGCAGCTGCGCTGGGTTTGGCAACTCAGCGCAACTGCACAATTGCTGGCTGACGCAGCAATTGCACACGGCGCAGTTGCGCTCAACTTGGCAACAATAGCGCAACTGCCAACAGCGCAACTGCTGCAACTGCCAGCAGCGCAATTGCTGCATCAGCCATTCCGCAATTGCTGGAACTGCCTCCAGCGCACCCTCGAGGCAGCTTCCCCAACACTTACGAACTGCCACCTCCTCCCCCACGCTAGCGCAATTCTCCCCCCATAGCAGCACCCGTAATTGTTCTTCGTTGCTCTCTCTCTCTCTCTCTCTCTCTCTCTCTCTCTCTCTCTCTCTCTCTCTCTCTCCCTCTCTCTCTCTCTCTCTCTCTCTCTCTCTCTCTCTCTCTCTATCTCTCTCCTGTCATTTTCGTAGTTGCATTCCAAGTTTCCTTCCCCTCCTTGCTGACTATCGCTTTCCTGGTTCAGCAGTTTTCTACTACACACACCTCCAGTCCCGATTTTTTACTCCGGGTGCTGTGCCTTCCTACTATAACAGCCGTGACTGCTGTAGTATAGTATCGAGTTGAAGCTTTATTTTTCAGTTTTTGTTTTTGCAATGTTACTGTTGGCATATGCCCTGCATGCTAAGTGCTAACAATATCTCGTTACCTATCATTCTTGCATAATTTTGTATTTTACTTTATTCTGTCACGGATTTGGACTTCATCCTGAACTCTGCTAACCTACTAACAGTGCTTGCACTTCTTGACCTTACCTCTTGCAGGGCTTCATTCAGTACTGGCAGTTCTGTGCGGTAAGTTATGTGTTCGTTGGCTCCCCGTTTCTTTCCCCTTTTTTTTATGTCTAACAAGTCGAGAATCGTTAGTGTTTTCGTTCGGCTGTGGTAGCTGAAGTAGCAGTAGCTATGGAGTGCAGCCGTTATGATTTTGAGCTTCAACACAAGCTGTGACAATAGTGTGGTGTACCATCAGCAGCATTCGACCAGTAGTGCTTAGTACCGTTGTGCCCCTTGTACTGTATTATAATTAAAATAATAAAAAATAATTTCTGATGTTGGTCTCTTCAAACAATCTTAACAAGTGCAATGTTGGCTAAATCCTGTCCAAAGAGCTGCACTATTGGGCTAACTATTGACCATAATGGTACAGAAGTGAGTCACATTTGGGATACATTTAGTTTATGAGAAATACCTAGCTTGGACCATTTTTCTACCAATTTTAGACCTTCATTTTGGCCAGTTTCAACATTGAACTTGGCAAATTTCAACCTTCCAACTTGACCAAAATTGGTCCAACGGCTAGGACCAAATTTGGACCAAATTTGGTCAGCTAGGAAATGGTTGTGCCCGAGGCTAGAGCTGCTCACCGATGGGCAGGAACAAGGTGCCATCCGCCAAAAGTCCCGCATGGATTGAGTTATTTAGAGGTTTTTGTGAAGGATGACCGAGTCGTTTGGTGCCATATTTCTGCCGTTGCTTGATGTCCCCTCAATTGTGGCGTAAAGATGTGTTTTTCGAGGTAACTGCCGTTGTTCGTTCACTGCAGGTGTTCTGTCTGCTTCACCAGGAATGTCGGTGACGAAGGCTCGCACGATGGGACCATAGAGGTCGGCGACGTTTCCTTCCACTGAATCGGCAACGAACCCGACAAACTTTGCGTCGTAAGTTACTTGAATTCGTCCCGGACCTTGATAAGGTGGTGTCGCTTCTTCAGTACCGGGTGCCTCTTCCTTGAAGCGAGTAATCAGGTCTTTTGCTTTTTCCAGAGTCTCACCTATCGCTGCTCCCCTTGTGACTGTTGTCGTTTGTCGCCTTTCTGATGATGATGCATTTCGACACTGCTCCTCACGAGCTGAGCGACGGAGAGAAGATTGAAGCAAAGATTCTCAACGACAGGTACATCGCTGATGTCGATTGAGAAGTTTTTGTCATTTACTCGAGCTGGATCTCGCCATTGTGCTTCGCAAATAGTGTGCCATCGTTCGTAACGGTGATTTCAATACACCCTCATTCTCGGCCTACGCACAATTAGGAGCCCTGGCTACAGTGCGTACTGTTGCTTGGACCCTAGCGATCTGGTGCTTGGAGCCGAACCCTTGGTAGGTGGCGGGCAAATGCACTCCATAAGGAACGGTATACAACGGTGTATAGAAGAAAATGTGTTTTTGTGTACGGTTGAGTACGGCAAATGTGCTTACAGGGTTGTTCTTGGACCATTTTGGATGCATTGATGTCATTACAGGTGGCATGTTCGTGTGGTGATTGTGCATGTGGCGAGAATGAGGGTGTATAGAAGTCGAGTTTCGTGTTGTTCAGAATGAACTTCTGGGAGCCGACCATGTGCTAGCCACAATAGCTATCCAAGTACCACGTATTGATGTCGCTACGCTGTTGCCTTGCGATGTTTGCGATACGGGGTGTGATGTGATGCTTCATATCAACGGTGTAGTTCCAGTCTACATCTTCTGGATCCGAGATGCATGCAGGAGGTGACCCAGGGATGCATGTTGCAAGTCCCATTCGAATTTCGACAGCGAGCTCATCAGAGGTAGGATGGTTGTCTTCCTCTGCCTCGACCGGGCCTGGCTCTTCCTTCAGGATTTGAGAAGTTTCCTCGTGAGCTGCGGTAGTAACAAATGCCCCTTAGGAGGAACGGAAGTGGATTCTGACGTATCATGCTGGTTAGAACCTTGCAGTTACGGCAGTTACGTAGAGTTTGTCCAGTTTCGCCGCAGTCAGCGCCTGACAAGTTACGGGTTGTTTAAGAAAGCAGAAGAATAAATACAAGCATGAAAATCCAGACAAATAAAAGGTTCAAGTCTGAGCTTCCAGACAAAAAAGAATGTTTGTCTAATTATTCAGATGAGATCCAACTAGGTCTGAAGATCAGATGAACATACAGTACCAATTGGTGTGATTGCATAGGCCAACCCTTAGTGAAGCCAGATCATCGTCATGAACCCAATTGCCCATGCTGGAAACCACGGTGTGGAGCTACTACATGGACTTAGTATCTTCCTGACAATCGAAACTGCGCCCAGCTGCCCAGACCACGGAACGTGGAACCAAGGCCACTAAGGAATCTGCCACTCCGATTGAGGCTACCAGACGCTATAGACCTTTTGGAGAGAGCCCCAGACTGGCTGACTTCGCTCCCTGTAAATGACAGGTTTTCCACGAACTCGCATGGCTCCTTGTCCGGGCAGAACTTGTCAATGAGGGCGCTGAGGGAGTGAGCCACAGCCTTCATGTCGGGCCGCCGTGTGCCCGGCATCTTGACGCAGTCCAAAGCGAGGTCGGCAAATGCCACTATGGCCTCCTCGCTTGCTTCCAGCTTGCTGTCTTTGAGCTCATCCAGTGCATACTCCTCCATCTTCTTCATTGCCTGGGGGTGAATGGATGCATCACAATGGCACGTTGCAGATTAGATGTTTTGCTCCATCGCAGACAAGAAATGGCCCTAAAATTCCTCATTTGCAATGCACGTACCCAATTTCTGATGTGCGACTCATAGCGAATCGGTTTGGAGCCAGTTAGCAGCTCCAGAAGCACAATGCCAAAGCTGCCAGCACGCGGGAAGCAGGAGAGCATACACAATCTTCGAGACAGGTCAAAAGATGCAGAGGAAGGAATTGTAAGAAAACCAGAAGCAGGACTTTAAACAGGCATTCTCGCCAAAAGCAGTCCAACCTGAAGACATCACACTTGGTGGTGAGCACGTTTGTGCGGTTGTAATCAGGGTCCACATAGCCAGGAGTGCCGGCCACTCTAGTCTCCTTGCCATCCCCGTGAGTGATGAGCTTGAGCAGCCCAAAGTCAGCCACCTTGGCGTGCATGTCGGCCGTCACAAGGATGTTGGCGGGCTTGATGTCGCGATGGATGATGGGCGTCACAAACCCATGAAGATACGCCAGGCCCTCTGCTGCTCCTTGTGCCAGGCGCAGCCGCTGCCTCAGCGAGAGAGGATCTGGAAGAAAGAAGAAGGACGTGCAAAAAGTGTTCTGAGGTTAATTGTAATGTTTTTGCGCTGCTTCAGAAAATGAGATACATAAGAAGTGTCTCTATTTTCATACAGCCCTTCGGGCTAACGTTGGGAAAACATGTAATTCGATGCGTTGGCACATATGGTATAACTCACCTCTGGCCTTGAAGATGTGGTGCTGCAAGTCTTTGTTACCCACATACTCGTACACCAAGATCTGCTCCTGCATGCCTGTCTCCACATTTACATCCACACAGAAGCCCAGCAGCCGCACCAGATTCATGTGGTGGAGCGTTGCCATGGCTCGCACCTGCAGGTGATGCATTTAGAGGTTGAAACAGGAGAGAGGTTATTTCCTGAATATGTCTGTTGAACTTGCAATTCTCCCAGCCTCCTCACCTCCATCTCAAAGTCGTTGGTCATGATAGTGGAGCGCTTGATGGCCCACAGCTGCCCCTGTGGCGAGTACCCCTTGTACACCACGCCAAAGCCGCCCCTTCCCAGCTCGTTCTCCTCTGCCCAGTTGTTTGTGGCCTTCGCCATCTGCTGCAGCGTATACTGCTCACACACTTCCAGCCCCTCCCACTTCTCTACACAACAGAGCAGAACAGAACAGAACAGAACAGAACAGAACAGAACACAACACAGCACAGAACACAACACACCACAACACAACACAGCACAAAACACAACACACCACAGCACAACACAACACAACACAACACAACAGAACACAACATACCACAACACAACACAACACACCACAGCACAACACAGCACAACACAACACAACATACCACAACACAACACAACACACCACAGCACAACACAACACAACACAACAGAACACAACATACCACAACACAACACAACACAACACAACACAACACAACACAACACAACACAACACAACACAACACAACACAACACAACCCAACACAACACAACACAACACAACACAACTCAACACAACTCAACACAACTCAACACAACACAACTCAACTCAACTCAACACAACACAACACAACACAACACAACACAACACAACACAACACAACACAACACAACACAACACAACACAACACAACCCAACCCAACCCAACGCAACGCAAGGCAACGCAACACAACGCAACACAACACAACTCAACACAACACAACACAACGCAACGCAACGCAACACACGACACACAATGGGGCGAGTGAGGAGGCGGTGGGAGAGATAGGAGTGGAAGAATGGAGGAAAGAGATGGAGCACGGCAGGAGTGCAAGAGTGGCACGGCGTGAGTGCGGGATTGTGGGGGTCTCACTTGGTCCGCGGGGCCACAGCAGGCATGAGAGCACAGCAGCCAGCAGAACGAAGCCAGCAAAGCAGCCCACCGCAATGCCCACTATGGCGCCCGTTGATAGCGAGGACACTGCCGAGGAAGAAGGGAGGAGGAAATCACAAAAGCATTGGTTGCAGTGAAACAGCAAGCTGTCGTTTGAGAAGCTAGGGTTGGGTAAAGAGTTGAAAGCGGTCAGGTGAGAGAGGACAAGACAGCTGGGAAGGAAACAGCAACCAAGATGGGTGGGATATGCAACACGAAGTAGATGGAGCGGGTGACGTATGCCTGCACTAAAACAGAGTGCAACCACCACCTTGTTAGTGCGCCAGTGCAGATAGGCTCACCAGTGGTGGTGGTAGAGTTGACCACAGCGCAGGTGGAGCCGTTGCCCAAGTCAAGGGCAGAGTAGCCGGCGTGGCAGAGGCAGGTGAAGTTGGAGGGGGAGGCGGGGGCAGGCGGCACACACTCCCCATGGCCGTCACACGGGCCATTGTCCGTGATGCTGCAGAACGCCTGGCAGGCTGCCGTGCTGCGCTGGGTGGCGTTCGCTGCGCACTCCGCGTCCGCACTGAGCGTGAGGCAGTTGCCCGCCACACTCACCCTCGCCTCCTTGCCCGCCCCCGCCACTGAGATATCTCGCAGACCAATTGCTGCAGCAGTGTTGCACTTCCCGGCAAGCACATCAAAGGTGTCCCCCAGGACGAAATTGTTGGGTTGGGTGATCTGAGTGGGGCAGACCTGGCAGCCGGCAGCGAGGAGCAGGGCATCACCAAAGAAGAAGTTGTGAGCCAAGTTGATGAGCGCATCGCCATCCGCCACCATGCTCTTGAAGTTGCGGTTGATGCGCCCGTACAGGCTGTTTCCGCTCACATCGCTGCGAGGAGCAGGGTGGGCAGGCGAAGGGCAGAAGGTGGGCTTTGAGTGTCTGGAGGTAGTCCCACCACATATACTACGGCAGTGAACCTGTGGCTCTCGTTACTCATTGCGCTGACCGTATTGAGGCTGAGAGATGCTGCATGCATGACTGGGAATCAATTATGCGCTGTTGGCTCACATTTGGTTGATACACTTGTCAAAAAGGCAGTCCGGAAGGGGTCCGTATAGGTGGTTGTTGCTCACCATGCTGCCAGCAGCACAACGCACACCATGCCACACCATTTCTTAGATTGATATAGAAGGGCATAGGTACGGAAGTTATACTGGTTGTCATATTTCTTACCAATTCAGAATCACGAATGCAGAGTGTAACGTGCTTGCATTAGCAACAGTCTACTTTTGTTTCCTGCGTTGGTGCCTGGAAAGTGTCTAAACATTCTCGGTCAAATTTCTGACTCATATATGACAGATACTTGCATATGCCACAGCCACTCACATGCGCCACAGCCAGGGCAGCGAGCACAGGCCAGATGGCAGAGGGCCCTCAATCTTGTTGTTGTCCAGCCAGCTGAGAGGGCAAGCACAGCAGTGGTAGGAAGAGGAAGACGAGGAAGGTGGCACAAAATCAGATTGTACCTTCAATAGGCTTCAAGGTGGAAAGGGGATGCCACGATCGCGAGTTTTCAATGTTCAGCTCAGACTTCACGGTGAGATGTTTGTTAAACCTATTTTGAAGTCACGGTTTACAGTAAGCTTGCCTTGATTGCGTTGTGGGTAAAGCTTCAAGCCAGCATTCCCGAGAGATGCAATGGATAGCACCCTCACATCTGTTCGAGCTTCTTCAGTCGACTGATGACACCTGGCAGACTGCCACTTAGATAATTGTTGGCAATGTAGCTGAAGGGCAATGGCAGGGAAATGTTTCAATGAGAGGCGGCATGGCGTATGCAAGAGCAGTGAGGGCTGATACAGGAAAGTACAGGAAAGAACCATTGCACAGAGGTGGGAATGCTTGATGGTCGCTTGGTAAGGGGAGCTCTAAACCCCTGAGGCTTACAGATATTTGAGATTGGTCATGGTGAAAATGGCAGAGGGGATGGTGCCTGTCAGCTGGTTGTTGTTGAGAAAACTGTATGGGTATGGCAAGGAAATGGGTACATTGGTTGAAGTGAAAGTTACACATATGAAGCTGGGAGGACACAGGCAACCCGCTGGTGCCCACATATGCAGTTGGGTTCTATCTGTGGCTCACAGATAGAATTGGACAGGACAACCCACTGTGCTCAGATGGGAATGGTTTGATGGTTTTGTGCTGAAGGGCACGCTGTAATCCAAGAAGGCTCACATGGAATCGAGGGTGGTGAGGGTGGAGATGGAGACAGGAATAGACCCCGTGAAGTTGCTGTTGCTGAGATCTCTGACCCACAACCAACAAAGGTGAGACGGCAACGAGAGAAGCTGAGATGCGTGGGTTGACTTCAACTGCTAACCATGGGTGCGATGCAGTACAATACATACATGCAACGTGATTGAGCAAGCGATATTGAAGGTGGAACAGCGGGGGTGTCAAGGGGGAATGGGAGGAAGGGAGTGTGGGGAGGCTTACATCTGTGCACAGATGACTTTCCAGCGAGAGAAGTTTGGCAAGGAGCCCGTGAAGCCATTTCCTGCCAGGTTGCTGCACAGTGCAATGGGAGCAAATGAAAGTTTTCAGGGGCACGAAAGAGAAGCACGAAGGGAACAGGGTGACACCAGTTACAGACAGTGGTGGCACTACTTACAGCGTGAGAAGAGAAGACTGGGCAGTGAGAGTCCGTGGGAGGCCCCCAGAAAGGAAGTTGTTGGCTACTTGCCTGTGTTGGGGAGGAGGGTAAACAGGGGTTGGCTGAATGCAGATGCTAGGAATCCAAGAAGACTTGCCGAATCACATGCATGCATCGTGGGCCTCTAACAACAGTAATTATGGAAAGGGGATGAAAAGATGAAGGTTTTAAAAAGAGGCAAGATCCAAGCAGGCATGCGGATTCCTGATTTAGTATCTGGCACTGGAGTTCTCGCAAAGTGCCATTTGACATTCCCTTTTCACGGATACTTGTATAAATTTCATGCAAAATCAGCAAGGAAAGAGGTTGAAGAAAATAATTCAAAAGCAGGGGTGATGGAGCCGTGGAGCGACTTACAGTGAGGACAGCATGGATAGCTGGAACAGGCTTGATGGGATAGTTCCACGAAAACTGTTGTCATTGAGGTTACTGGACAACCGTTTCAAGAGCATCAGAAGTGAGTGACCTCAAATCTCCATGCAAAAGGGTACAGCATGAGCAGACTTGCTAAAGGTTCCTCAAATCTCCACTGCCCTGCTTGGCAATCTTTGTTCTCTCTTCATGTCCCGTTTCTTCAAGTCCCATTACATTTCCAAGGACAATCCTTTATTTTGCAAGCTGGTGCACGGCACCTACAACACTCATGCTGAAGCAACAACCTGATGCTGGACCAGGCACTGGTGCTACTCACATGTTTTGCAGGTTGACAAGGTTGGTCAATTTGTGAGGGATAGAACCGGTGAAACTGTTGTTGCTCAGATCCCTGCCATTGCCATTACCATTGCGAGCGCCAAATAACTCTAGAAAATGGTTTTCCCAGGAGTTTTGGACGGAAGAATGAGCGCCATAAGTCGAGAGGACGAGTAAACTGCTTTACAGGTGGGGTTTAGCAAAATTTTGAACCCTGTTCGGGTTGATTCGCACATGTTCGGCAGCATAATTGTGAACATATCACTGTTCGGCCAGCTCCTTTGAATAGCTGAACACCACTTTCCCAAAAAACATCCAAGTCGAACGAACATGTTTGGTTTGATAAAATAAGGTGTTGAATAATGTGGTTCAACTTCGCCTTTTCCTCATGCCTGCTTACAGTTGTTGAAGGCTCGTGTGGAGCAGAATACAATCGGGGAAGGTTCCAGTGAAGTAGTTGTTATTTATAAGCCTGAACCAGGCGCAAGATACACGTGGTGGGGAGATGATGAAACACATTCATGCAGAAGGGGTGATGGAAAACACACATCCATTCAGGCACTTGGACATGCCACTGCAGACGTTCGAAAACACGTGGGCACAAGACAGTGGGCTCTGGCATCTGCATGCACCAACGGGTTAAGAAAGGTATGCATGTGCGCTGCCCTGACTGGGAGCATGTGCCTCTGGCACTGGCACTCAGTATATTCCCGTTGAAGGAGTCTAATAATTTCTATAGAGGAACCACCTTCTAGTGCAGCGACCGGCACTATCAACATACAATCTGTCAATGGCTCGTCGAATGCCGGCAGTGCCCATAAGGGCAAAACCAACATGTGGATACACACACACACACACATGTATATATATATACATATACATACATATATATATACACAACATTCATATATAAAACACACACATAAACAAGGACACAAGCAATGGAAAAAATAGAGATGTAAATTGAGGGCGCGAATATCATTCAGGCACACTTATAATAGGGGTACTTAGAAGAGCCCTAGCTGTTGTTGCACCTTACCACCCAGGTAGGTGCGAAGGGGCTGTTACACTGATAAGGTGAGAGAGGATAGATGGAGCATACTCACAGAAATGCGAGGCCCTTGATGGCTGTGAAGGACGCTGGAAGCACACCAGATAAGTTGTTGCTATCGAGGAGTCTGCACAATTAGGGTTCAAGAAAGTGTCTCATATGTTGCAGGCAACCAAAGTGGACGAAGGGAGGTGAGAGAATGTAAGACGAGAGTCAAAAGGAGGCTGATGAGGTGGCGAAAAGGGGAGAACCCTCACACGTTGCGAGGAGAAGAGGGGAGAACAATCACATATTTACGAGGCGAAGAGGGGAGAACACTCACATGTTTGCAAGCCATGTCATCTGAGCCACCACGTGAAGGCCTGAGGTGAGACTGTTGAAACCAATGTCTCTGTCATTTGGAGCAGACACACATGTCAGAGGCAACGAGCACAAGGCTGGAGACGGAGCATCCTAGGTCAAAGAAGGTGCAGAATACAACTCGTAAACGTGTGCGGCCATGCAACCACTGGTGTGCTCGCAATAAGCATCCCTTTGGCACGGGCAACGAGTGGGGTTTTTACGCGTCCAAAATATCGACGCAAACCCTTCTTTCAAAATATCGAGAAAACCCTTCTTTCAAAATATCGACGCAAACCCTTGTTACGCAACGAGTGGGATTTTTACGAGTCGTCGTCCCTTGTTTCAAAATATCGTTCTTGACGACGGGTTTCAGGTTCAGTTTTTTCCTTATTCTTCTTTTCTCTCAGTCAACTACACTTCGTCTTGACGACAAGTCGATGAGTACATACGGCATTTCACCGTCAGATGCGCACGGATCTGACACGTCACCTAGCGGATCTGGCACTAGGTGAAGTGAAGCAGGTGGCCGGACCGGCTCTTGGGGGGAGAAAGAGGGATGGGTTGGGGTGGGGTGGGTGGGTGTGGGTGGGGGGAGGAGCGCAATAAACGTGTCCGAGTAGAACTGGACTCGACTCGAAACTCCATCGAGTCGATGAAAAACGATACGAGTTTTACTCGACTCATAAAATGCTCATGTATACCTTGGACAGGCGAATCTCATGTGCCGCAGTTGAGACAGGGAGATGTACGTAGCATGGGAAAGGAGAGACATACAGAGTTCTCATGCCAGTGAGCCTAGTGAAGGCGTTGGGGATGCCTCCTGTGAACAGATTGTTGGCTAGTTGACTGCAGCCAGGACATCCCAAAAGGAAACATTGCACAGAGCAGCGGAATGAAAGAGTTGGGGGCATAGATTGAGAGATGGGGCTAGGCAGAGAGTGCAGGTAGGAGGGGAGCTCGAGGGGTGAACAGGAATGGAGGTCGAAAGATGAGTGGATGTACAGAATGCGCAAGCATGGAGTGGCTCACAGCTCAGCGAGGTTGGGCAGTGCCAAGTGTGGTGGAATGGGTCCAGAGAAGGTATTGTGGTCGAGGTATCTGGATAGACAGGTAGGACAGGAGAGGCAGAGACCAGTGGATTTCAATGTTCGCTGCATTGGAAGGTCGCTTGCAAAGGAATGTGCTATGATAGTCAAAGGAGGAATAGGGGTTTGAAATGGCGAAGCAAGGAGAGAATGAGGGAGCAAGGAGGGACGAAGAGGGATTAACGGTGAGATCAGGACAACAGAAAATGGATGGAGGACACGATGGGAGAGATGAGGGTATAGGGGGAGACTGAAGAGCAAACTGAAGAGAGATTAAGGAAAGGGAGGAAAAGCTATGCTGGTTTGAGGGACATGGAGTTCAACGTGGGTTGAGTGTTGTGGCATGGGAGGGCAAGGCAGGAAGCGGTGAGATGGAAATCCTCTGGATGATGTTGGTGAAGAGGTATTGAACAAGCAACGACGCGAGTGTAACATAGGAATGGTTGATTTTAGGCAGAAATTAGACTCCACTATTACTGCTGCTCAAGTGGAATTGGAGTAGTTTGTTGTGAGGGAGCTTCAAGGCATTGAGCAGGAAAGAGTGAGGCACCCGTAAGCCTGGCCATCACATGTTCGGTACTTGCTCATATCTACCCCTCCCCCCTTCACCCACCCACCTCCTCCCCCAGTAGTAGGTTATCGCCACAATATAACCTCCCTCAGAAGTCTGAATTCCGCCACTAAGGATTCCTGATGTGGTTCCAGCTCCTAAACATAGAGATCTCGCTCTCAGCCTGGAGACGTAGCTTAAAAGATTAGCAACATGTCAAATATTCGGCTTATTCTTGGGACCAGACATGAGCAAATTACCAAACGTATGTTTGGCAAAACAAGTTTGTCCGAACATGTTCGGGGTTCGTCCCGGGCGGTGTTCGGGAAGTTTAATGGGAAATTTCTCGAACACCAAATATCTTCGGGAAATTTCTAGTGTTCCGCGAACATTTGCGCAGGTTGGATGTATATGCAACGGAAAAGTGGGATCGAGGTCATTTCGGCCTCGATCCAAAAGCTTAGGATTATTCTAGGCTAGGATGGACCAGAAGCTACATAACCAGCATAGATCTACCCAACTTAGCAGTTTCTTATGGAAATCTAGGTAGCCCGTTTTTAGAGATTCTAAACCGTAGCAAGTGGGTGACACGTTTTAGGGCACCCGGATTAGGGTCAGATCTGAAATCGTACCATGTCCAGGGTGGTTTAGGGGCGACACGTTCCTGCCCTGAATGTGACAATAATGGGGGGAAAGTCAATTTCGAACCCAAGAATGTTCAGTTTCGCCCGGACATATAAAGGTTCGGCGAACAATTTACATGTTCGCCCACCAAGGGCGAACACCAAACAAAGATTTTGTGCAAAAAATGTTCGGGCGAACCAAACATGTTCAGTTTGCCCATTTGAGATGTTCGTTAGTGTTCGGGCGAACATGTTTGGTGTTCGCCCGATGCTCATGTCTACTGGGGACAAAGTATTTTTGTATCTTGGCAATCCCCCTCTATCCTTCCCCCCCAATATCCCCCGCTTCCATTCCCCCTTCCCCGGTATTATCTGTGTGCCCAAAGTTTTCTTCAGCTGCCCGCGGAAGCATTTTTTGTAGCATATACAGCTCCTGGACCTTAGTGTCCAGCGTTGGTGCCCAAGATGCGGAACAAGTAATTATAGAGACAAATGACACGAAGGTTCAACCGAGCCAACTTATAACATGGTTCAACAGGGAATGCACGACGGGAAGAGAAGCACATGCCATGGGCTGACTTATGAAAATGTTGAGAAAGAAAAAGCTGGTATTGTGGCCTGGCTTGGAAAAGTGGAGCAGGAGCGGTGCGAAGAATGACATACAACGTTTGGATGGTGGTGCTGAAAACTGGGGGTATAGAACCAGAAAGAGAATTCCACGAAAGGTCTCTGCAATGGAGGGTGGTACAACGAATGAACTATGGTACACTGAGTGAGGAAGACACGGGAAAATAGGCAGGGACAGAATGGTGGTCAGACAATGGAAAGTAGGCAGGACGCATGAATTTTACACTGAAACGAGGGCCGTTAGGGCCGAGAATGTTGCCGGAATGGCTCCTCGGAGGTGGTTGGTACTTAAATATCTGGGATGAGAACGGAAAACAAGCTTGCCAAATTAGAAAATAGTTGGCATGGAGCAACGCACATGGGGTTGATGCTGCTGCCAGCAACACGGTAGTGGGACAGCATGACACCACAGTGGAAACGTTGGTTGCATGGCAGGATGGCAGAAAGGTACGGAGATTGGCAGGATGACTCACAGCTCCTGCAGGTTGACCAGAGTGGACCAGCTCTTGGGTAGGTAGCCCTCCAGGTTGTTTCCGCTGAAGGACCTGCAGAGCATGGCGGCAGGCAATGGATGGACGCGTGAGCTGTTCACTGGTGGTGCGGGCGGGTCATGAGAAACTCGCAAGTGTATTTCTGGCGTATCTGGAGATGGAAATGCAGCACGAATAGAATAGACAAGTTGAGATGGTGCAGGGAGGGGGTGTGTTCATCTATATCACTTTTAAGGAGGCACACTCGTAGATGTCATCTTTTTCAATAAGAATACATTTGGAAAACGCGAACTACAATCAAGTACGCTCACCTAGCTAAGAGCTAACTGTGAGCATGCATGCTCGCACCACACGCGCGCGCGCTAAGCTCACAGGCTGGTGAGTGCTGTGAGCTCAGAGATGTCCTCCACCACCACCCCCTGCCGCCGCGGATCATCCGTCTCCACATTCCTGCAAAACAAAGGAAGTAAGGCCGTCGAGAGTATCTCACTGAGCTTGCAACAGCAATGGCACGTGCGGTGCAGTTCTCGTGCCTCCTGGGGGAATGTGAGCGGCGAGTGGTACTGGGACAGTATGAGAGTGGAGCAGGAAGAAGAAGTGACGCTTACAGGTACTCAAGGTTGGAGAGGTGAGTGACCCAATCCGGAAACTCCAGCGCACGAAGGAAGGATAAGTCCCTGCAGGGACGAACGCATAAGGAAGCCGCATAGAGAAGCGTATGGCGGAAAGCTTCTCTTATGCTGGCCAGGAGATTACAGATGTTGTAATCGTGCGCATGAACAAACTTGCTTCATCTTCCCCATCCTGGATATTTTGTCCACCTTACAGTGAAGTGAGGGCAGTCAAGTATCGGATCTCCCTGGGTATCTCCCCAGTGGCATTGGTGAGTGACGCAAGTCTCCTGCGTTCATGCACACGCAATCAGCAACAGTGAATCCAGTGCTAGTTGCAAGTCGGTATATAGACCACCATATCACACGCACACTATAATATTATGAGAATCAGGACAGAAAAATCATGCGACCCCGCTATGTTGTCCACCGTAGTGATTCTTTCTTACAGCTAGACCTGGGCATATCCCGAACACGAGTTCGTTCCGATCCAACCGGTTCAGCATTTTTTTGCACGGAAAAACGGTTCGACTCGAACCAGCTGCAGTTCAAGTCAAATCGTCTGGTTCAGATTGACTTCTATGGCCAAAGCGCATTGAACTGGTTTTGACTTGAACCTCCAGCGAGGTTCGCTCCTCGCCAGGTCGTCATAACGTGCCAGGTCCAACACACCTAGTAGTTCTACACCATGACTGTCGAATTGGTTTGAATCGAACCAGTTTAAGTTGATTGCTACTCGTGTCTACTTACAGCTGTTGAAGGCTCCTCATGTGAGAAACGATGTGCAGAGAGGACAAGTCCCCTGTGAATGCCTCCAAGTACTCCAGACTCCTGGTGGTGGGAGGGCAGCAAGGCATGCAAGAAGCCATAAGGGTGCAGGAGAGGAGCATGGGGCTTCTGCATGGGTTACTGGAGCAGCGTGACATGCAGGGCATACAGTATTTACAGGGCGCCGTGCTGGTAGAGCGTACAGTGATTGCAGGTTGGTGAGGGAGGAGAGCCAGGCCATTCCGTCCAATGTGCCAGTCAGCCTGCTGCCCGTCACTCCAATAGCTCTGAGTACAAGGGGCAAGGAGCGCAATCACAATCACGATGTGACATGAAAGAGGGCAGGGAAACAAGTCAGGCCTAACAACTGATAATTGAGGTCAAAATAAGGGACAGAAGATTCCCAAGTATGTAGTTAGATGTTAGAGGACTATTGTTCCCTTCTGGTTGCTGGATGAAGGCGTTCTCAGGCGGTTTACCCCTCCAGGGTGTGTTGCTTACACGTTGAACTAGTTTGACCCGAACTCACTCGAACGTTATTATTATAGGACTGAACGGGTTAGGTTTGGCTCGAACTAATTTTCCAAAAGTAGGGTTCGAGTGGCACTATTTAGTGTGAGGGCCGGTCAGGTCGGGTCGACGTATCTAAAACGCATACCCGGCCTGGTCGGGTCGACCCTTGACCCGGTTCGGGTCGGATTGACCCAATAGTAACCCGACCCGGAATCGGGTCAAAATGCCCTAAATCGGGTCGGGTTATGGCCCGACCCTATTTCTTCGTTGTCAACCCGATGTGAGGTGGGTTAAGAATGGTAGAAGCACAGAAGATTCTCCCATCAGTTTCAATCTAGACTACAGAGGGGAATGGTTCTGTGGGCTGAAGGCTGGCATTGGGGTTGGGCTGAGCTCAATGTCGAGATATCTGTAAAGGGTGTGTGGTGGGGGTTGGGTCTTGTAATTCAGTGCGGTGATGAGTGGTGAGTAGCAGTTTCAAATTGGTTGGGACCGTTTGTTGAGTACGAGGGAGTGCGTAAGATCAGTAAGTACTGGCAAAAGCCCGATTCGTGCAGATCGACCAGCAAAATCGGCGATCTGCAGCACAGATCGGTGGGCGAAAGCTCCGATTTGCGCTTATCGACGGGCGAAAGCGCCGATGGTGCAGATCAGCGAGCGAACACATAGGCACTGTAAAAAACAGGTACAGATACCCGACCCGCCCCCGGGTCAACCAAACCCGGGGGCGGGTCAGACGTGACCCAGCCCTTCAAGGCTGGGTCGGGTCAAGCTTCTTAAGAACTCCGACCTGGGAGACCCGACCCGACCCAACCCGACCCGACCCGACCCGACCCGGTACCCGCCTGACCTGCCCAAATCTGGTCGGGTCGGGTCAAATGCTCATGCCTAGGTCGAACACAGGTGTTTGACCCGAACTCGAACAAGTTTGGATTTGAGTGACCATTCGGGCTGTTGAGACCCTCCCCCCCCCCCTCCCCCCCCCGAATTCGATTCGCACGGTCGATTTTTGCAAAACCCTTGCTTCTCTCTCAATTTGATTTCGCACAACCTTCTCAGGGTACGTTCTTGGCCTGTGTCAAGTTTCCTTACACAAGGCTATCGACAGCTCCGATCGTTCCACGTCATCATCAATCTAATCCAAACCCTTCACAGCTTCATGTCAGCCTGCCTGACACAGGCCAAGAACGTACCCTCAGTAAGGGCGAGTCAACATTTTTTTGTACCGGGCTCGCCTGGCGCGGTTGAAGACGGTCAATTACGTTTGAGCGAGGTTTTCGGCTTTCACCGCTTTCGACCATTGCGCACCAGGGAGAACCATTCCCAACGAACCCCGAACAAAAAAGTATGACCTGCCCTGACATCCCTCGCTCACCCCTCCCAACACCCCACTATCCTCGTGGTTCCTATTTTCGACAATCTAAACCTACCCAAAATCTGTCCTTTCGTAAGTTCCTGTGTATCGTTTCTAGTGAGTTAAGCCTAATGTCAGTCGACATGCTAGCATAAAGAGTGCTAAGCATGGGTGTGACTTAGGAGCTTGGCGACATGTTGTATGATCGAGTTTGAGCTCGAAGCAGAGCAGAATTATGGACTTTTTGGCCTAGATATGAACCAGCGCGCCTAACTGACGTGCTGGTTTTGACACGACCCGAGGCGAACGCGTCCGCGTTTGCCGCGCTTCGGGCGAACGAGACGAAAGAACCGAACGTGTTCGCCTTCGACAGGGGTAGGTCGACACGGTCAGGGGTTCGCTATTTTGCTCTGCTGGCCACCCAAGAAGAGTGAAATATATGATCCCATTACATAAATTGCCTCGAGCAAAGATTCTAGTGGAGATCATCTCCTCAATTCCTACTCCTTGCTTGTATATATTGGCTCTTGCAAGTTCTGATGCTATTTCCTTTGTTCCCAAACCTTCAAGGTCTTCTAGACTTCAACAGAAGAGACACGTACAGGTGGGTGAGGCGGGTGAGAGTGGCGAGGGATGGAATGGACCCCACCAGGTCAATGTAGGTCAGATCGCTGTGGGGATGAGAGACGAGGAAACAACAGTGAACAAGGCAGCAGAACCATGGAATGGAGGCAGCATGATGTGAGTGGGGCGGGGCCAGGCATGAGTGTGAGTGAGAGATGCATATGAGAGCGAGTGAAATAACAGGAGCAAGCACATGTTGGGCGTGGCAAGCGAAGGACAGACGTGGTGCATGCAATATGGGTGTAGTGGAGGAGGAGGTGGGTGGTGACGCACAGGTATTGCAGAGTGGCAAGACTAGTGATGGAGGCGGGTATGGCGCCACTGGGGGGAGGATCCACTTCAGATAATTGCTTTGCATCCCTGCCAACACACGCACGCATGCACGCAACTCCCATCCGTCCCTCACATCCCAACCCACCCCACTTCCCTTCTCCAGTATCCAGTCTAGTTCAGTCCCCCCCTCCTACAACCCCACCTCCACATTTGACCCATCCCCCTCCTCGTTCAGATTGCGACTCCTTCCATTCTCCCCCGCACATGCATAACATCCAGCCACGCGGAATTCGTACACGATGATTGCACGTGCGCAGCCAATGGAAGGGTGAAACAGTGATGAACAATGAGGGCGGCATGAGCACAGACGGGCAATGCGGGGCAACACCAGGTGATCAAAGCGCCAATGGCAATGAGGACAACGACGACACAAGGGTATGCAGGGCGACCAGAGCACCGAACGACAATTAGGGCAACAAGGGCAGCGAGGGACGGCAATTAGGCTCACAGGGCAACGACGAGCCCGCTGGGGCTGCACGTGACGCCAGCCCACGCAGAGCACGCCGTGGTGGCGTTGCTGTTGCCCGCCCACGCGCCCCACGCCTCCTGCAGCTGCAGCAGCGCGCCCACTGTTCGGGGGGGAAAGAGCAGATTCACGTAACAGCGGCGCCTTCAGTCGCAGCACAATGCGCTCAGCGTGACTTGAAAGTTGAGCTGGAAGGGCGGGCCAGGACCTGCCGCCTGCGCGTGCAAGTCTCTGGATTCCCATGAGAACTGGAGATCTGTTGGAAGTGGACACTGCGATGAACAACAGCCGTTCCTCCTGCAAGCTCCTTCAACTGCACCACAACGACTCACATTGCGAGCCTTCCAAATCGACGGGCCTTGCTACGCTTGCGCCGGTGACAGCG